GTCTGAAGGCTGGTGCGGGACGACGCATTTCTTCAACCAAAGGGCAAGGTAGCCTGCTAATAGAGTCCGGGGCCCTATGGACTTCTGTGCGCGGCGGAGAAAAGAGCGAAACTTGGTCCCCGCGGGAAAAGCTCCCTCAGCACTGCCAATGGTGTAGGAACGAGCTTCAGCCTTCCCCAACAACTCATTAACGGCAGAAGGGGTCAACACGTCTAATTCACAAATGGATGTACTGGAATCACCCTCCAAGTTTTGGAATAAGTAGCTGGCAAACTGCTTCAAGCTGATCTGCCTCTTCCTCCTCGCTTGAGGAGAAGTCTGGATCAAAGAAGTATAGTAGTGGCAAGTAAGATCCCAGAGTGTGTCATACATATCCGCAGCATCTTTCTTCATACACTCCAGCTGCTGGTTCGACGGGAAGTACTCCTGATACGGACAATCCCCCATCGGAAGACCCGAAACATGGTGCATCTCGTGCAAAGCCAACCCTAGCTCACCACCACTGGTCAGAAAGGTGTTGCTGTCAGGCATGTAGGTCTCCAGCAAAGCCAAGAAATGGCGACAGCTGACTGGGATTCCGTTCATAGTAGTTCGTATGGGTGCATACAACCCACTGCTCTTCAGATCCCTCTCCCAGCGCGCCAAGACGAAACCAGTCATGCGCGCCCACCACCCCTTGGCTAGGGAGGAAGCCCAACCATAGCATCTGTATTCTGGCAGAGGTAACTGTCTCCCAAGAAGAGCCAGACTGTTGCTCACGGTCGGAGCGATAGCGGACACCTCGCCTGGGGGTGCGGTGTCGAGGCCCATAATCCCGGGTCGTAGGCCACGTACGTCATGATACCCGTCAGAGCCAGGAGTCTTATGGTGAGTAGCATATCCGCACTGAACCCGCTCAGCATCTTCAGTAAGATGCCAAGACATCCGTCTGTCCACGGCTTGCCCCTTCAAGTGACTGAAAGAATAGTGGCGTGGAATCGAAGGGATGTACAAACAAGCTCCCCCGTCGAGAGTTAGCCAATGCTCCTCGCAAAGGGTCAGCGTAGCAGGATCTTTGACATGATCTCCAAACAAGAAACTCGGCTTCTTTAAAGCCTGAGTGGAGGTAGAATCCGGGGTGAAAGGGACATCTGTGATAAGCTGGCGCAAACAATGGCGCCCTCCCTCCTGTATCAAGCAGCAAGAGTCGTTTGAGCGATCCCCGTCGAACCGAGGAAGTGGGCTAACAGCCTGCCTAAGGGAAGCCGAAGAGAAGACCCCCAACCGAGGAAGTGGGCTAACAACCTGCCTAAGGGAGGCTGAAGAGAAAACTTCCCGACTACAGCCGGTATTGGCGTGAGAGGGAAGGCTACCCGCGGGAAATTCCACTGCAATAAAGCGTAAGGGTGGAGTCAGAAAATTCATAAGAAGAATGATAAACTCATTCACGGAATAATTGGAGAGACGATTTTGAGTGTCCTACACCGGAAGAACGGTATGCATCATCACGTGAATAACGTGGTAACATACACCGGCCTATAAGGCGTAGAACGACACAAAATCGCCCCAATATACCGGAGACTTGAATTGGCTAAGCAAAACAAGTCTGAAACCTTACCCTCCGCGAGAGAGGTATCGGTTCTTCCTTCATGACCCGCAAAGAGGTCAATCAGGGATGCAAAAAAAGAAAAATCAGCATAAATTCTCACCCCCGAAGAATGAGGCCGCGGGAGAGGATGTCGTGGGGACCTCCTCCTCACTATGCTGTGAACGAGAACGGCTCCTCCGGGGACGAGATCGACGCGGAGACATTGCAAATCTGCAACGAAAAGCAGCAAGTCAGGTACAATCTAAAACATGAATACACGAAATTTAAAAGGGAAATTAAGAACTTTAATTAAAATCCTATACACAAATAGGATTTCATAATTGAAGTCTAATTAAACCTACAAATTTCGTGCACGATGATTGTCATCTTTCACGGTGAATTTTGGTGAAATACCCAAAATACCCTTAGTGTTCAAGGCCAAAATTCAGGTCAAGGACACACCCGGTTCGGGTCATGATCGTCATATCCGATCATTTAGCACCCCCGGTACCCCACCATTTTGGTTAAATTTTGCAAATAAACCCTTTTGCAGAATTCAGCCAAATCTTGCATAAAAGCCCCTCTACAAATTTTGCATTTGGTCTCCACATGCATTTATCAAAATTTGATCAGGGGCTTGGGGTTTAGACCCCTTGGATTTCAGCCTCAATTTCACAGCCCTTCTTTGCAAATAAGCCCCTCCAAAACGTTTAGGGGCTGTTTTGCAAATAAACCCCTCAAGTAACCCTTTGATCCTTTTGCGTAAAGCACCCCCATTCCTTCATCAAATGAACATAGATTCAACCCACAAATTTCAGTTCCCATTTTGATGAATAAACACCCACGAATTTTGCAAATAAACCCCCACGAATTTTGCAAATAAACCCCCCAAAGTTTCGGCCATTACCTCTTTTTGCACAAAACCCCCCCGAAGTAATAGTGCATACATGCCCCCTAGTCTACCACAAGAATAAAAATACAACCTTTACCACAAAATAAGAGGATGGTGAAGAGGAGCTTACCCAAATCAAGAGGCTTGAAATCCCCAATCCAAGAGTCAAGATCCGAGCTTGACGATTTGAAACCCTAAGGGTCAACGCCGGTCAACGCGTAACCCTAGGTCAACGCCAGTCAACGCGTTGCGACAAAAGTCAACGTTCGAGGATGAAAATCCACACCAATCAACGTTCGACGATTCAAAACCCTAAGGGTCAACGCCGGTCAACGCGTAACCCTAGGTCAACGCCAGTCAACGCGTTGCGACAAAAGTCAACGTTCGAGGATGAAAATCCACACCAATCAACGTTCGACGATTCAAAACCCTAAGGGTCAACGCCGGTCAACGCGTAACCCTAGGTCAACGCCAGTCAATGCGTTGCAACAAAAGTCAACGTTAGAGGATGAAAGTCCACACCAATCAACGTTCGACGATTCAAAACCCTAAGGGTCAACGCCGGTCAACGCGTAACCCTAGGTCAACGCCAGTCAACGCGTTGCGACAAAAGTCAACGTTCGAGGATGAAAATCCACACCAATCAACGTTCGACGATTCAAAACCCTAAGGGTCAACGCCGGTCAACGCGTAACCCTAGGTCAACGCCAGTCAACGCGTTGCGACAAAAGTCAACGTTCGAGGATGAAAATCCACACCAATCAACGTTCGACGATTCAAAACCCTAAGGGTCAACGCCGGTCAACGCGTAACCCTAGGTCAACGCCAGTCAATGCGTTGCGACGAAAGTCAACGTTTGACGATTCAAAACCCTAAGGGTCAACGCCGGTCAACGCGTAACCCTAGGTCAACGCCAGTCAACGCGTTGCGCCAAAAGTCAACGTATGACGATTCAAAACCCTAAGTCAACACGATGTGACGGAGGTAGTTCAAAGTAAACACCAATGACACTAGCCAAACTCAATTCATCAGCTGCAAATTCAAGACTCCGACGACGGCCAAGCGATAAACGCAGTGCCGGAAGAACTTCGGTTATTCGTCAAAGCATCGAATAGACCGAAAATCGAAGGAGCCAAGAGTTGAAGCTAACCACAGGTCCTTATGCCGACTGAAGGCTAGACCAATCACATCCAAAGTATTCCGGCCTCTTCTATAAAAGAAACGAGTCCGGAACACTTTGGAGGGGGTATCTGTAGGCATCGAAAATTGCCTATAGGTCTCCACGAACGGTTCAGTGTTAAAGAACGACGATGAACATCACTATCCGATCCACATGAGTCTAATCGACGTCGACGAACGACTGAAGTGAATCAACGAGCCACGTGAGCTTATAGGATTTCGGAACAACCAACACCCGGACCAATCGGGAACCCGGCACTGTTCACAAAAAGGACAACGCCCCTCGCGCCTCGACCACTCTACAGATAATCCAATCACCAGAGCGGATCGAACTCTTCGTCACGCATCCAACGCACCCGGAATCACTCAAATCCAAGTCCGGACGAAGAATCTACGGGGAAACAAACAAAATACACCTAAACGGAGTCCCGGCCAGTCGAAATACCCCGGGGTGTCTAGGAAAAGCCTAGACACCCCAGGGGTGTCTCCCCTAGGGGTGTCTCGGAATTTCCGAGACACCCCAAGGGTGTCTCGGAAATTCCGAGACACCATAGGGGTGTCTCGGATTCTTGGAGACACCCCAAGGGTGTCTCAGATCTGTGCAGACACCCCTGGGGTGTCCTGGATTTGTGCAGACGCCCCAAGCCCCCTTTTGCCTATAAATAGACCCCCTTACCTCATTTGGAAGGATGGGGATTTTTGGAGAGCCTTGGCGAAGCCCTGCTGCAGCAAACAGCGATCGAGCGCTTCAACCGAGGAGGAGAGGTCTACATCAGCCTTCATCACCCGTTCTCATTTGATCCTTAGTGTTAGCCTTTAGCGTTAATACTAAGAAGAGCTAATACCTCGCTTTAGCCGAGGTATACGCTTATAGCTTCTAGATCTCACGCGGATCAACGAAGCTCTGTCCGATATTTCTGGATTAGAAGTTTCTAGATCTCACGCGGATCAACGAAACTCTGTCCGATTTATCCGGAACGGATCTGATTGCCCCGGTGGTCCACGGATATCAACATCCCCGTCACAGGCCAATGACCCACGCAAGCGAGACCGCACCAAAACGGGATCTCGTGTTTATTTTCGATAAAGTTGTAATCTTTGTTTTGTTGCATTCTTGTTGTAACGTTTAAAGTTGTAACAGATTCAAAAGCAATGAAAACAGCGACTTTCACCGAAAACACCCCGACTAATTAGGAAACATGATTAAGCCTACGTGGCATAAAACAGGTCGATTTTGGTAATTAAAAAAAAAACGGTCGATTTTGGTAATAAAAAGTTCATTTGGGTCTACAGTGAAAATTTGTTCATTTTGGGACTGTTCTGAGAATTTCTCCTTCTCATATCAGTCGAGGGGACGCACTGTCTATCACCAGCGCACCGCAAACGACTCAGGTCCATTGGCATCCCAAACATTCTCGGCCTCTTTATTTTTTCCTATTTTTTTTTTAATTCATGGGCAAAAGAACAAACAGGAGATAGGCGAAGAGAGTGATCGAGCTTTTGACATCAGATCTAGGGTTTTGCGATGGAGTCGACAGCCAAGGAGGTGGGGATTCTCGCCATGGACATCTACTTCCCTCCTACTTGCGTTAAGCAGGTGACTGTCCTTTAAGCTCTCCGTGATTTTTTTCTTTGCATTTTTATCTTTTGGGGAGTTTAAAGAAATATTCTTGACGCTCCTTCGGAGCCCAGGACTCTTGCGGTTCGTATTGAATTTATCTTGGTTAATTTCCAAATTTTAATTCTTTTTGGTGTTTGTTGAGCTTTGGGGACTTAAAAATGTGAAAAAGAGATTTTTTTTATTAAGTAGAGGGACCTGATTGGTTGTTTTCGGTGGCATTTGCAAAGGAAATGATTGTTCTTGAATTGTGAGCTTCAGGGCTTGTAGCACTTGAATTGTTTTTTTATTGAGCTTCAGGGATTGTACCGAATTATTTTTTATGCCATATAAATGTGAAAAAGGAAATACTTTTGGAGTTTTATGTAAATGTAACTTAAGGAAAATGATTTGTTGTTTTTTAGTGCTATTTGTAATGGACATCATGGTTGTGCGATTCTGATGGTGAAAATTTCTATTTCTGGTGAAAATTTTATATATTGTTTGTCTGATACTAATGTATCTTATTTTCTTCATTTGGGAAAGCTTTTGATATATAAATTGGTTGCAGGAAGAGCTTGAAGCTTATGATGGGGCAAGCAAGGGAAAGTATACAATTGGGCTTGGGCAAGATTGTTTGACCTTTTGCACAGAATTGGAAGACGTCATCTCAATGAGGTTTGAATTAGTATGCATTTGGAGTTTGTCTGTGTCTTTATCATCTATGCCCTTTGATTTTGATGTTGATGTAACTTGTCGTGTTTATCTGTGATATCTTGCTTATTGAGGATTTCTAGTGTAGCTTGACAGTTGTTACATCACTCCTTGAGAAGTATCAGATTGATCCAAAAAGAATTGGGAGGTTGGAAGTTGGTACCGAAACGGTAATCGACAAGAGCAAGTCTATAAAGACTTGGTTGATGCAAATCTTCGAGGTATATTCACAGTCTTTTCGAGAGATATTACGGAAAGAAGTTTTATTCTTTTGTGCCTATTCAAAAGTTAATTGAAGAAAATTTATGATCCAAAATTCCAACAAAAGTATGAAAATATATACGACATATCTCCACCACTAAAAGCTGAAAACCTGCATGTGTAACTCTATACTATATCATGCAACTGATAGAGGACGGTGTTAGGATATTAAAAATAATCAAAGTTCCTGTAAAGGATTAATGGAGACTTGATTGATTGCCTTGATTTTGTTGCTGTACTTATGGATACCTGAATAATTGAGAATGGTAGGTGTTATGTAGTTATAAATCTGTATCAAATAGTTTTATTATCTCCTTCAGCAAAACTAAACATCATGACATTGGATCAAAAGTAGGTATATCTCTGTGACTCAGTGACTCCCAATGAGTGCCGAGTGGCTAGGTTGTCTTTTTGTGATGACTGAACAAAAGCAGGATACAAAGACAGTAATATCTGTATACAAAATGAAATATCAAGCCATTTCATGTCTGAAAGCAAAATCACCCTGTTTATGAGGCCTTGGAAGTGAGAGGAATTGGTCAAATCCCACATAAGATGTATTTCTCAGTTTGATTAACAAGCAAGGCTATAACGCAACAACCATTCAGTCTTACCTTTCTCCTTTTTCTCACCAGAATGGTATTTGAGAGAGAACAGTTAAAATCTCATCTTACTCTTCACATCTGTGAATGGTGTTGCTGCGACCTATTTTGCTTCTTACAATAATTAAAGCAGTTCGCTATTTACATGCTAATCATCTTGTTTGCTTGTACATGTTTATGATAACTTTTTATTGGGATATACAGGAAAGTGGCAATACCGATATTGAAGGAGTTGATTCAACAAATGCGTGCTATGGTGGAACAGCTGCTTTGTTCAACTGTGTAAATTGGGTGGAGAGTAGCTCGTGGGATGGCCGTTATGGTCTTGCGGTCTGTACAGACAGCGCGGTATGCTATTCAAACACTCTATTGATGTATAATGATTCAATTTTGATATGGTTCTTTTTTTAATTGATTGAACTTGCAAACCGTTGTCTACCTTTAGCCAACTATTCGTCCCATATTACAACTAAATTTTTTTAGCTTCATCTTACTAATTAATTTGATCAAAAAATTATCAGAAATTGTGGATGTCCATAAGTATAATTAAGACATTAACCTTTATCTTCCTTCCTTGAACATTTGATTAGTCAATTAATTCTTTGTTTTCTCAGCACCATCATATAACTTTTCTGATGCAGTCCTTGGATGATCTAAATTGTTGTTCTATGATAGGTTTATGCGGAAGGTCCTGCTAGACCAACAGGTGGTGCAGCTGCTATTGCAATGTTGATTGGGCCAAATGCGCCAATTGCTTTTGAGAGCAAATACAGAGGGACACACATGTCTCATGTTTATGATTTTTACAAGCCCAATCTAGCAAGCGAATATCCGGTTTGCTTCTTCATCTAGTATTGCTTTTTCTCCCCTCTAGAATAAAGATGGTTGTGATAATTTAGTCCTGCGGAAAAGCTACAAACAATTCATGACTTGAAGTGTATTCTAAGGTTGAAATTGCATAGCCTCTGACATTTTGGGTAAAGAAGCTAGGGAAAGTCCATTCATTGGTTCAGTATTGCTGTTCAAAAGAGAGTTGTTCTCAATTCATGGACTTATTGTTATTTAGCTCCTAAATTCTTATAAGTATTTTTTTATAGGTTGTTGATGGAAAACTATCTCAGACATGCTATCTCATGGCACTTGATCAATGCTACAAACAATTTTGTAGCAAGTAAGTGTCAATCAACAATTTTTTTAATGTCTTAGTTTTGGCATATCAGTTCCCCTGACAATTCAACATTTACACAATATCTTGGTTTTTTAATATCAGTTTCCCTTACCATTGTTCTACTCTGATATGTTCATGATTTCAGGTTTGAGAAATATGAGGAAAAACAATTTTCAATTTCTGATGCAGATTATATTGTATTTCATTCTCCGTACAATAAGGTATGCATGTGATTTTTAATTAACTCTTTGCTAAACACTTTTCTCATATTCCAGTACATAAACTTAATAACTGATCTGGTGTTAAATTTTCTTATAAACTTGATGCAGCTAGTGCAGAAAAGTTTTGCTCGGTTGTACTTCAACGACTTTTTGCGCAATTCCAGGTGCATCCATTTCCTAGCTTTAGTCTACATAGTATCAATTTTTAGCGGCACGGCAAGTGCCCATAACTAGTGATACCCATCTTGATTCATGGACCATAGTGTTCACCATCTTTAACAATGAGTTGCTAGGTTTTAATATCAGAATAGCAATTAATTTTAAAGGATGCATCAATTTGAAAAGCAATAAACCAATCTGATGTAGATCAGAAAAGAGAGAACTCTTTTTGTTTGCGGGCAAATCCTTAAATGTAAATTGGAAACTGTAAAGGGTGAGTGCACAACAATAATATAGAAGAATGACAAAATGTGTTGTTTATATATTTTTTAACCTTGACCAAAGCAAAAGGCACATGATGAGGAAATTTGATCACACAACGTTGACATTGTTCGTGCAGAGTTAGCACATGTTAGGGGTACCTAGTTCATCCAATCCCCAAATATTATGACCAGGTTCATGGATAAACAGTTTGTGATTTTGTCCCAATTGGTATCGTGAAAAGTTGTGATCTGAATAATTTGACACATATAATCACCTAAGTTACATACTGTGAATACTTTTTGAAAGTTAAAAATTTTGGTGACCTAATATTGCTATCTGATTTTCTTTTGGCACTGATATCAGTCTCTTTCACGTCTTTGACCTTTTTAATTTAGTGGACCATCCACCAATTAAATGTCTTTTGATCTTTTTCAACGAAATGAAGGTCATGCTAGTCTTTGATATGGAATGGAGATTTAATATTGTTGTCTTGTGATGCTTCGCTCAAAATAAAATTTGTCCTATCCTTACATGCAAACTGTTCGAAATTTTCATCCTCAGAAGAATATGCTTTTACTTGTGGAGCATCTGTTTTGAAGCTGTCAATATTGTCAAATAGCTCTTGGTATTCTTGAATCTGTGTTATTAAATCTTCCTTCATGGAATCTGTGAAATTCTTACAAATGAAATAAGTGATTTACTTGTGCCTTGTTTGATCTATGCATTACTCCGGCTTCTTCTTGTTATATTCTTTCAGTTGAATTTATCATCATTCCTGTTGTACTAATGGATTGCTTTCCAAGGAAATGTTTCATGAGCTTCCTTGTTATTCTTGCCTCGAGCAAGTAAGCAACATAAATTTTCTACCTCCTATCAATCCACCAAATATATTCATGCATATCGTTTGCAATTTTCCATACTGAGTGCATCTAGATAATCCCTATTAGTTCTGATATGTGATGACCAGTTTCCTTCCACTGTTGAATATTGTTAAACTTCTGTACGTGTGATAGATAGCTGAAAATTACATATCTTCTGGTTCTCAACTGCTTCAGGGGACAGTTCTATTCATGATCTCAAACTGCAAATCTGATATCATCATTACATGTATGATGTAAATACTCGAAACTTTCTTTGTTCCTTCATTAGTTCATTTCCTCCTTCCGCCCTGCCTTTTTCAAGCAATTTCTGTTTGTCAGCACGATTGTGGAGGGTTCGGTTAATAATTAGACAGTGATGTTGGAATACTCAAATAAGCCCTTGCATCCATTTATTATGTTTTCAGCAGTTTGAGCTGAATTCTTTATGACTCTTTTTCCTTTCTGAAGCAGCCATGATTGATGTCCGCTAAACATCACCCATCATCCAGTCTTTTATTTAAACGGTTAGATGTAACCACTTGTTAGTATCTCTTGGTGTTTAAAAGAGTATTGAGACCCTACAAGTAATTCAGTTCAGTAAATCAATATCACAAATGCAATTGTATCATTAGATGACAATTGTTTGTAAACATCAACACTTAGGAAATATATTCTCTAGTTTATTTTTATTAATGGTAATAGGTTAATTTCCCTTTCTTGTTAGTGCCTCCTCTAGTTGGAGAATAACCTATGCAACATAAACTTTAAAATATGACTGCCGTCTATGTCTTACATTTTGTTTTCACACTGATATTAATTCTTTTTAATTCCATAGCAGTTCCAGATTGTTTAACTTTAATTATATAAACAACCCGATTTTTGTAAGATTGGTTTCAAGCTGTACCCATTTTGTTTTGGTATGATGGCCGAATTCTAGTTCTTTTAGTTTTCTAGATTCTTGGTGCACGCCTTCAATTATATGTCTATCACTAGCCTGAAACATTTTTTGTTCCATATTTTTCCTTATTTGCATTAGCTCTGTCCAGAAGGAAGCAAAAGAAAAGATGGAGCCTTTTTCATCCTTGACGAGAGATGAAAGTTACCAGAGTCGTGACCTTGAAAAGGTCATTCACCAAGCTGATTTACTTTATCGATATTTTCTCCCGTGAAATCTGTTTTACCGATTGATCTATTAAATGCAATGCATAGACTTCTCAACAAGTTGCAAAGGACTTGTATGATGAGAAGGTTCAACCATCTACTTTGATACCGAAACAAGTGGGAAACATGTACACGGCATCACTGTATGCAGCATTTGCTTCTGTTCTTCATAACAAACTTAGCAATCTGGTGAAGCTCTTGCATATTTTATATGATATTTTTTTGTATCATTAAATAACTTCCAGTCCTTATTACTAATATTTTTACCATCATCAGGTTGGTAAGCGAATCGTTATGTTTTCTTATGGTAGTGGGTTGTCTTCCACAATGTTCTCATTCAGGATCCAGGATGGACAACATCCATTCACCATATCAAACATTGGTACTGTGATGAACATCAATGGGAAGTTGGAGTCTAGACATGTGGTATGTGTCATCTTCTCTTTTTGCTGGTCGGATACACTTCAACTTTTCGTGGATTGTTATTCAAGTGCTGTGAACATCTTACTTATCATGTGCTAGGAGTTCTATAAACTACATCATGCTGCATTGGCATTTCTGCATTTTGTCATATCATAGCTTCATGTGTATAAGCATACGAAATAAAAACATATAATTTGGTAGGAATAAGTTTGTATATTAAGTTGCTTAAGCTGTCCTGAAAGTGTAATGTAAATGTCGCTTGACTTTCAAAAGTTACTGTCCCTCCTACTATTACTTAGGATTACTGAACTGCTTCGGTGCACAATATCAGACATTTGGTTTGTGCGGCGTACTTTAGTTGGTTAAAAAAAATGGATTTTGTAATTTCAACTCTATACATATTATAGAAGAATTTTTCTCATCACTGCACGACACGTTTTTTGAAGCTTCAAAATGCTTGGTTCAAATGATTTGATGCTAACATCTATATGCATTTCTTGGTCTGAAAATTTTGTCCCAGATCATATGCGTTACCACACCACAATTAGGAATCATGGTGACTCCAATTGGCTACCAGTTATCATAAAATTCATAACACACTCGTATAATCAAATTTGGAAGTTTTAGGATGCTTTTGGAGGATTATGTAATCGTAAGATATCTATGAGATTTAAGGCAAAATTCCATATGACAATTATTAACAATGCTTTATGGATCAGAATGTAAAAAACAATGTGCAACAAATAGTAGAAAATGAGAATGTTATGGTGGTCTTGCGAGTATACACCGAAATAGACAATAAGACCTGGCCACGAGCCAGACTAGGCTTGGGCCCTAGCTTTTCTGGGCTGGGCTTGGCCCTCTTGTAATGGGTTTGGGAGCTGCCCAAAACCCAGCCCACAAGCTCTGAGTTGGGCCGGGCCAGGCTCTAGCCCGCTCGGGTGCTCTTTTGTGCCTTGGTTGTATATGTTTCTCAAGTTAATTTACTTAAAAACTTAACAAAAAAGAAAATGTAAGTTAAAAAAATAATTTAAAATTTGGATCATGCCTAAGTTTAGGCTAAGTTTCTTTTTCTAAATGGGTCAGGCCGATTTTATTTGAGCTAGGATCAATTCAAGCCCCATTGGGTCCGGGCCAGGCTAGGGCCATGGCCAAGTTTTGGGCCCTTTGCTCAGCCTGACCGTAAGTAATCCCGGCTAGGCTTCAGTCTGAACTGGACGACCTAGTCTGGGCGGTCTTTCTGGTGGGTCCGATCCGATGACTGGGTCTACACTGAAAGAGATAATAAGAAACAAGCACATTGTTTAAGAGATTAGAGGTTGCTATTATTGAGAATAGAATAAGAGGGAATTAGTTTAAGATGGTTTGATCATGCCGGAATTGCACCAGCTAGGAAAAGTGATAATATTATTATTAATGAGGTGAAAGGGTCTAGACCAGAATGAGCTTGGTTTGAAGAAATTAAGAAGGATATGATAATAGTTAACTTAACAGAGGTGATAACACAAAATAGAACTGAATGGACGAATATGATTCATGTAGCTGACCCTAAAAATTTGGTATAAGGGCTTTGTTGTTGTCAAAAGAAGTTTGCTAGAAAAGATTTGTAGAAGATTATATCTTTATCCTACTAGTAGAATATATTCTATTTTTAAGACTTACAAATACTAAACTGGGAACTTAAATTTGTCAAAAAAAAAAAAAAAATCCTTACTATCAACTATTGGTACAGTAAATGATATTTCCCATCTCGTCTTCTGTCCAGGTTAACCAGATCCATATCATGTGGCTTGTTCATATCACGTGGTTTGTTTAATTATACACTTATATGAAAGATCTGGTGGCAGCAGACAAATAGATGACAAGAGAACGATTAGAAATTACATACAACTCAGTTAGATTTTGAGAAAAAAAGAAGTTAGTTTAGATGCTTGACTCATGTACTTTTCTTGTAAGTAGTTTATCATTTCCAATTTTTGCGACTGCAGTTAAACATTTATGAGTGTTTGCATTATGACTCAATCTTTTTAATCTGTAATTTTCTTATGCTTTCTGGTTGTTTTTATTTTACTTCATTGTTTATTTATTTGTCTTCAGTTTCCACCTGAAAAATTTATCGAAACAATGAAGCTAATGGAGCACCGATATGGAGCTAAAGATTTTGTCACAGCTAAAGAGACGAGCCTACTGTCCCCTGGCACTTTCTATCTCGAACGTGTTGATTCAGTGTATCGGAGATTCTATGCGAAGAAGGGCTCAGATGGAAAACTGAGCGCAGCTGCTAACGGCACAACGATCAATGGCTACTAAACCTGGCGATAGATGATGGATGATTCCAATATGTTAGCTATTATCGTCATGGTTTCGATAGTCAAGATTTGATTGTTTTTCAGTTTACTTTAATATGCATGTTACTTGTTTAGTTAGTCCTTTTTAACCGAGCTTTGTTGAAGAACTGAAAGCAGGGGTTTTGGTGGAGCTAAGCGAAGCCATTTCCAACCATTGATGTTTTGCCTTGTATTTTGCGTAGGTCCTCCTCTCCTTGGTCTTTTCTATATTATTACAAGAGAAACAAGTATCCACACCATTTGATAAGCAGATCCATTTGCCCTCATGTAACACCGGTACCCATGCCATACCCGATAGATAACACGATTAAGAAAGGGGTTGAATAAGGTAAATCTTGTATAGCTTTTCACAGTGACTAATTTTATAACTCTGGAAAGTATAGTGTTGTTAGTATAAGGGGGTGTTTGGTTGCGTTGTTTTTGAGAAATGTTTTCTCAAAAAGTACAAACAATGGTATTTCTGTAATTAAGAGTTTTCTATAGATTTTCACAAACTGTGTTTGGCTCAAAAAAGATTTACAGAAATGTTTTCTGTAAAGTATAGAAAAGTACCAAAATTTATAGAAATTGATTTCCTTCTAAAATGGGCGGAAATCTCTTGGAAATCTGACGCATTCATTATTTAAATAATAAAACTCATTAACACTTTTCTATAAAGTTCTCATTTTTCTATAAAGTTGGTGGTGTTTGGTGACATTTCTATAAATTATAGGAAATGTTACTATTTTCCCAAAAGTTATGAGTCATTTTTTTGTTTTGAACCATTTTGAACCAAACAAGTACAATACAAAAAATAAGAAAATTTGTACTTTTTAACTTCTTAGAACTTTTCCTATAATTTTTTTTAAGAAATACAAGGAAATCAAATTTTAGATGGAAAACATTTTCTATAATTTATAGAAATGTAACCAAACACCCCCTTAGATTATAACTCTCAAACATTAACCATAGTTTCATAGGTTTGGTGCGGGGTAGCTTGCCAGGGGCTTCAAAAGAGCCTCAATTTGTGGGGACATATAAGAGTATAAGAATATTGCCCTCACCATAACTTTTGCCGCAGTGAGAGGGACTTTACGGATAACTTTTGTTGCAGTGAGAGGGGACTTTACATGTAACGTGCATGATGACCATGCAATTGTCACAAACTCTTAAGAACCAATGATATGATGACCACAATTTAAGAAGGAAAATGTTAACCTACACAAACTTGAGAGTCTGATAATTACCGAGTCAGGATTAAATTGAGGGGGTTTATGTTGGACACTCTTTTATCACCTCTACGTCGTGCAAGAATTCTAACTACACGATCCTCGAGCAGAGCCACGTATTAATTTCAAATAAGACAAGAATTAATTTAAAATAAGACAAAAATAGGCAAATTGGCGGGCAATAATCCCAATAATTTTACTTTCATATCATTTCCCCCTTTTTATGGGAGAGTAAAAGATAAATGCAGCAGAATATACAGAAAGGAATTAATTATAGTGTTACTATTCTAATGTAGTACATTAGCCAATATTTATTACCTCCGATTATGTACAGTCACCAACACTAGTACGGCTCATTACATTATCTTAGTATTTAACCCGTCACTTGTACGATTCAGCATCTTTCTCAATTACTTTATTATTGTTCTGAAGGTGCAGTACGACACATAATCGGTAAAATTCCGCGGTACAGCACGTATCGCTAAAGTTATATATTAACATCGTTATTATTCTGATCGTGTATAATTAATTTCTTATCATTTCTAACTCCTTTATTTAGTTATAATTAATATAATGCAGTATGAAGCTCACGCTAAGCATGGTCTAATGTACTTCTTTGTTTTATTACATTTGGCATGTTTGGCCAATGTTTAAATTTATTTTTCTCCTAGTTAAGCTGGTTTGACTTGCAGAGTTTATCTTCAGATGATCTACCATGCATGCAGTAAGGAGTAAGAAAACTAAAGTTTTGAAAGAAAATAGAGTTTGATTATTATTAATGCTCAATATGAATTTGGTAGACATTACATCTGATAGGTTTTAAATGAGACTTCATAATATACTTTTGTTTTTAAACTTATCAACACTTGTTGTAAAGGTTTCAGATTTCAAGTCAACAGACTCTCTTTACCTAAACGTATGTTTAGAGGGAGTTCACGATAAGATCAACTTATAGTTGTCAAAAGAAAATATGCTTTCTCCTTGGGGATATTTGTTGTATTCTCCATAATCAAAAGTAGATTTGAGAATACTACTATATCATAAAGCCATATTTATATAATGGATCACTATCAAAAAGGATTGGAGCCTCCCTTTGCGTCGACAACATTTTTCCGTAGCCAAAGGTTAAACAACACAGTGTAAAGCATTAAAATACATTATGTGACGCAAGAATACAAGGAATATCCTCTAGTTCGGTATAAACGCTCAAATGCGTACGTTTTGAGGGCAACAACATCCTTTTTCGTTTGATGGCGCGTAACATTTAGCAATGTTGACAATCTATTTTTCCAAGCAAGCGACGCCCACGAAAGTTTGCTCCTCTCACTCTGAAATACCCTACACCATCATCGAAAGAGGCTCGACTCCATAGCCTTGCTCTGCCTGCAATTTTACTCAAAAATGACAACATGGTTGCGGGCAGCCTTAAATGAAGTAGTAAAGAGCGCTTTTTTTTTCATGATCTTTTCTAGAGCCAATGACAGAAAAATAGTTTTACAAATATTTCTTCAACACGAGAGCTGTTCTGAGCTCTACACTGAAAGTATTTTGGCCAGTCATCTTAAGCTTTCTATTTAGACCATATACCTTTTTATTGTGTACATAATTCCGCTAAACAAAAATGTAGGTTATCCAGAGCTAATAGCAGTATACAATCCTAACTTGTGTAGGAGAGTGACCCAATTTCAGTGTTTTTCATATAAATGATATTTGAAAGGTCTCTTTCAAAACCAAAAATCTATCGATTCTCAAGCATCAGGTTTGCTGAGAATTCTGCAAATCAGGCTTGCTTTCATACCATACTAAAAGACAGCATAAAATGGCTTATGGACCCGATCCAGTAAACAAACTAAATTAAATCTATACACCAAAATATATTAAAATTAAATTGATGCATGCTGTGGTTGGAAATGGAAAAAGCCCATTACGATATGCTTGTGGACTTAATAATATGAGGTCCCCATGGAATGGAACTCCACTTAATAATATGCTTTCTTATCCAAGATCCATGTATTGTTTATTCATAATCTGTTTATGTTTCCAACTATTTAGCCTAAAACTACTAAAACCAAAGGTAGTAATCTATTTCTTTCACTGTCCCAAAGCAAACGAATGAATTTTGGTAATGTGCTATAGAGAGAACACTACTAAAGTCAAAGCTAATGTTGACTTTAAACTACATCCGAGTTAAAGGTGTAAACTACATCTAAACAACTTTGAGATATTTTCATGAATAAATGAAGACTTCAGTGACATCGAAGCTAACATTGGTGAACCTTATGGTATTATTATGCAATTAACCCATGAATTCGTAAAAGGGAAACTTGCCAGTTGCATAGAGAGAATGTTGGCAAGCTTAAACAATTCTTCCTCAGTAACAAGTTCAAGCATTGACCTTAGCCCCGGACCAAAAACTTCCTGGAAAATCAAAATTTAATAACAATAACAGGACCAGTAATCTATTTCTTGAAAAAATAAATAAATAAATAACCAGAAGTTAGCCAAATATCGTCTCCAGGAAGGTGAGAGCAGAAGAAAATATTGCCACAACAATTAAACATTAAAATACATAAGATTACGTCTATAAAACTTCACTATATATTCTATATCAAAATAGCAGAGTGACATCAACTTAGAGGAAACGTCGTCCAAATTTTTATAAATATTAAGTAATCCTGGTAGAATCATACACTGAAAGCCTGTAACCAACCAGATATATTTCCTACAATGAGTACAAATCAAAATAATAAGCAATTTTCCTAGGTAGATACCAAATTGTTATTATTATTCCAGAATCAAAATATATAGAAGATAGACTCTGTTTCATTCAATTGCAGAGAATTTCACAATGAGAAAATAAATTTATTTCAAAATTATCTAAGAAAATAGATCCAGCTTAAGAATAAGATGAATAAATCATATAGCCAATATAACATTTTGATTCCGTTTCTCAGTTGATATAAAGAAGAAATTAAGGGCGAGAGCTAATAAAGCTCATTCCAGATTCTGAAATAATCCAAAATAGACAAGTAACTTAACTTATAGCAAACAATCAACGCGATCAGTTTTTTCATAATCGAAAAAGAGAGAGCATCTCAGCACTAGTCAATTTCTTCATTGAACATCTTTGAGTATTGAAAGTCAAAATCCATCCCCATTATTGTATTACTGTAGCTGCAGCCAAAACACAGATAGAGAACTGAACCCATCTCTAATATGATTGAAAATTTCTAGTTTTAATAAAAATAAAATAAAAATCTTGCCCTTCCGGACCTTGCATTGAAAGTAGGAATGTAGGAAAATTCATTACAAATAAAGATCAAAACTTGCAAGAATAATAAAGGAGATGAACACACAGATTTAACGAGGTTCGGCAACGTGTCTACGTTCTCGGGAGCCACACCACACAATTTTTTTATTGATTGAAGAAGAAATACAAGCTCTCAAACTAGGGTTTTATCTCTCTGAGATCTCTCTATCAAAAGCTCTCTCTTTTGATGGTTTTCTGATGCTTAACAAACCCTAAAAACGTTTGGGTATTTATATCAAACCCAGCCCAAACAGATTTCCTGAACTGAACCAAAACCCGATAGCAGAAAACATTACAGGGTTGGCGCGGTCGACCGTCTTTAACTCCAACCTCTCCCTAACTCCTGTGCATGTTCGCGGTCGACCTTCGCTGACTCGCGGTCAACCGCCAGGCTAACTGGCAGTTCTCCTGAACTTTTGGACTGTGTTCTTCATGATCCCAGCTTCGGCTTTAACTTTGGGTCTACACTTTAGACTAACAATCTCCCACTTGGAGACCAAAGTGTCATCAGTGAGTTCACCCGAACTCTCTCATTCTTCGCATGTATCTTCTCCTCTCCGGAAAAATCCTTTCTTCAATCAACAATATCCTGGGGATCTCGCCGATCCTCGTAGTGTGGCTCCGCCTTCATCTTCTACTCGTGAAGACCAACTGAAATTGCGCACAACTTCAGTTTCTCAATGGTGATTGCCTTCGTCAACATGTCCGTCGGATTTTGATTTCCTAAAATCTTCATTAAGTGTAACTT